TTGTTTACTATCCTCTTCTCCCCATTATTTTTTATGTCTCTCTACCAAGACATAATATGTAAGTGCTGAAATATCCCAACAGTAGAAGATGTGCATAATTTTCCTGAAACGCCAAAGTGGTTTTCTCTGAAGAGTAAATAAGAGAGGGTATGGAGATAAGAGCAGAATCTGATTTAATTTTACTTATCCAACAGAAATAGGAGCTCAAGAAAGTCAATATTGGCTGGACAAATGCTTGGACCTTTGACTTCATGGAATTAAGGAGAAATTTCCTAACAGTGACCAGTGGAACAGGTTACCTTCAGAAGTTGTAGGCACTTCATAACTGGAGGTTTTTAGGAAAAGACTGGGCAGCCACTTATCTGAAATGATAAGGCGTCTTCTGCTTGGGCAGGAAGTTGGACTAAAAGACCTCCAAGCTCTATTCTGATTGACAGATTGAATGCATATATATGTGTTTGTGTAGGAATTTTCCTCTTAATGCAAATAGCAGTAAGGGTTAATAAGTGTTGGGGAAGAAATGTTTATTTCTCCCATTGGGGATGTAGTCCAGATTGGACCCAGTGCCTGCTTCTAAATCTGTGGAAAAATTTTCCGGGGGGGGGGGAATCCTCCCCCTTCCGCTGAATCAGATGCCCTGAAAAAACAACTGATTTCAGAAAACTTTAAATGTATTCCTAAATGTGTTCCTCTGAGCCTAGGCTTCCAGGTGATTGTCATAATTGGCTAAGAGGATGAGTCTAAAGCCCTAGACAATTCAAGCACATAAAAATTCATACCCAAAGCAGAAGTTTCTGGCAGACTAACAGATCTCATGAGGAAATAAAACAATTGTGGATTGCAGAAACCACTACGTGATCATAAGAAACTTAGATTTCAAAACCCTGTTTCAGAAAGGAACCTATAAATGAACCAATTAAAAGATAAATAAATATAATTACACAGGAAGATGAGCATGGCACAAAAGCAATGTGTTAAAATGCAGAGCACTTCCAGATGAAACAAGTGACTATAATAGCATTCACTATCCTTCTACCACAGACTCCAAATCTGTTAAAGAAGAAATACTACAGCAAAGACTCAGAAGCGATCTGTGAATTATTTGAAAGAATCAAATATTGGGGAAAGTGCCAAGCGTTTTACCATGTGCATAAATACCAGTTATTACATAGCTCTGGAAAGTCTGGTTCACTGGAGATATATTTCACGGTACTTGTCTTTTTATAACAGCATGGGATTTGGTTCACTTCAATAGAAAATGTCTGTCCTCGGTCACAATGAAGGGGTACATGAGTGATGTCTGAAGTGACATTCATAAGGTTTCCCCCCAATTTCCCTACTTCCCATTTCTAGGTTAGCAATATGGGAGAAAATTGGCATTGTGGAAAAATCTGCCATATGTACCCAGGTAGGAAAGGGAATTGCAACACAAAAATTCCATTAATACTCCAATAACCACACAGAAGAGCATCAAAGGTAGTAGCAGCATCTGAGCAAAGACTGTGTATTCCCCTTGAAAGAAATTCCTAATTGTAACAAACATTGTTTATCTGTTGAACAAATTAGATGGAATCATATCTGGTTGCAGCTTTAGAAACAAGAGAAACTAATACTTTTAAACCAATTTGTTTAGAAACTAATTCTAAAAAATCCTAAGAAACAAGAGAAACTAATTATTTGCAAAGAGGAAATGCCCTTAGGATTGATGGTTTGAGTAGTATAAGCAATATACTGAGGTTTATAATTATACCTATCCAATGTCACAACCTCCTTCAATGAAGCTTATATAAGTGTGATTTTGACAGCTTATAAAAATCCTACCAATAGTGCAAGCTGCCCTCCAATTTCCTAGTTAAAAATTGATGCAAACATATTAACAGTGTCCCTGGCACATAGATTACAGATGATATGACCTTAGATTATTTAGTCTGCAGAAACTGCTTTTATAAAAGGTTACCGAGATGTTAGATTAGTAACCATCATTGTGGATGTGCATCAGAAAAAACGAACATTAAATCAGCAGTGGCATTTTATTCAATGAGGAAAAGGTCTTTGATTTTATGGAATTTTTTTGAAATCAGAAACAGACAGAGAGAGAGTGGGTTTCAAATTTTTTGGCAGGAAAGAACAAAAATGTAGTCACTTTGGAATTCCAGCCTCATAAAGGAAGGCAAGGAGGGAGAAAGGAAATAATTTTGCTTAAGGCAAATTAAAAGGAATTCCATTGATTTTAAAAGCCTTGGTTTAAGATTTGGAAGACAGACTGGGGGAGAAATAAGAAAGACAACTGGAATATGTAATTGGGAGAAAGGAAAAGGAGTTCCAGGAAGATACAGTATAAGTCCTAATGTAAGCAGATCTCTGGGAAAAATAGAGAAAGGCAACAGCCAGAAGATGGATGACAAGATGCCAGATCAAAGAAGGGAAACTGCTTGAATCTATGGTAGATCCATGGTAGTTTTTCCTGAATACAGAGGCAAGGAATGGATATCTTAACTGAGGTCATGAAGCATCTACAAAAACAAAGAGCAGAAATGAATAGCTCTTAAGCTTTTAATTAGAAGTTGGAGAGCTTCAAAATTCAACCTCTTCAACCCGTTCTTCAGTTCAGTCTTTATAAACAGCAATGACTGAAGCCCCACAGTTCATAGTCATACCACAACTAACTGCAATGATCTACTACATATTGACTTTACAGAAGATAACATAGAAAAGGCTCTACATAACCTAAAACCATCCCTATCTATTGGCCCTGATGGATTATGTGCATACTTCTTAAAAAAGCTCTCCACTGCCATACATAGCAGAACCCTTAAGCATAATATATGAAATATCATTTAGAACCAGCTCCTTACTGAACTTATGGTCCTTAGCAATGGTCATTCCTATCTTCAAAAAAAGATGACCCCAGCCTGGATGGAAATTGCTGACCAATCTCACTGTGTAGTATCACGTGCAAAATCATGGAATCAATCATTAATGAATCCATTATCCTCCACTTAGAGTCAAACAACCTACTCTCCAAAAAACTATTTGGTTTCAGGAAAAAAATCTACAACTCCTACTCTGTGAAAACATATGGACTACTCTACTGGACCAGGTTGAAGCAATAGACGCAATTTACATAGACTTCTGCAAAGCCTTTGATTCAGTGGTACATGACAAACTACTGTTAAAACTAAATTCTTATGGCATTTCCGGTTCCCTTCATAACTGGATTACTGCATAAACAGGCAACACATTGTAAAAATAGGGCCATATCAAACCCTGCTCCAGTTAACAGCAATGTCCCCCAAGGCAGCATTCTAGGACCCGCACTCTTTATACTCTACATAAATGACCTTTGCAATCACCTTATAAGCAACTGCGTCGTCTTTGCAGATGACGTAAAACTATTCAACACCACCGACAATGTTACTGTCCTTAAAAGCAACCTTGATTATGTGTCTGAATGGTCAAACAATTGGCAACTCCAAATCTTGACCAACAAATGCTCTGTCCTTACACATTGGTAAAAAATAAATCAGTACACCAAATACAAGCTAGGCAGATATGATCTTGTTGACAACCCTCATGCTGTCAAGGACCTTGGAGTTCTCATATCAAATGACTTAAGTGCCAGAGCTCACTGTAACAGCATTGCCAAAAAGACATTAAGAGTTGTAAATCTAATCTTATGAAGCTTCTCCTCTGGTAATATTGAATTGCTAACTAGGGCATACAGAACCTTTGCTAGACCAATACTCAAATACAACTCATCTGTCTGGAATCCACACTGTATATCAAACATTAATACAATTGAGCAAGTCCAGAAGTATTTCATGAGAAGAGTATTAAACTCCTCTGCTTGCAACAGAATACCCTACATAACCAGGCTTGAAATTTTGGGCTTGGACAACCTAGAATTATGCTGCCTATGGTTGGACTTAAATGTAGTACACAAAATTATCTGCTACAATGTCTTACCAATCAATGATTATTTCAGCTTCAACTGCAACAATACAACAGCACACAACAGATACAAACTCAATGTAAACAGCTCCAAACTTGATTGCAGAAAGCACATCTTCAGCAACAGAATGGTCAATGCCTGGAACGCACTACCTGACTCTGGTGTTACATCCTCTAACCCCCACTCCTTTAACCTTAAACTATCCACTATCAACCTCACCCCATTCCTAAGAGGTCTGTAAGGGGTGTGCATAAGCACACAATCGTGCCTACCATCCCTGTCCTACTGTCCCCATTTATTCATACCTATTTCCTGTACTCATGTTTACACTTATTCCTATTATCTTGTAAGTGATTGACAAATCAAATCAATCAATCAATCAATAAATAAATAATAAAACTAAAATTAATACAGATCTAAAAAGTAAAGATTTCCCCAGTCCAGATATATCTGACTCTAGGGGGATGATGCTCATCTACATTTCTTAGCCAAGGTTGCCAGCATTGTCTAAAGACCCTTCCTTGGTCATGTGGTCAGCATAACTATACTCCAATGAGCACGAATGCTGTTATCTTCCCACCGAAGTGGTGCCAACCCTGACTGTTCTTTAGAAGACCAGATCCTGAAGATGAAACTCAAACACATTGGCCACCTAATGAGAAGGAAGGACTTACTGAAGAAGAGCCTAATGCTGGGAAAGATTGAGGACAAAAGAAGAAGGGGATTGCAGAGAATGAGGTGGCTGGAGTCACTGAAGCAGTTGGCGTGAGCATAAATGGATTCTGGGGGATGGTAGAGAACATGAAGGCCTGGAGAAACATTGTCCATAGGTTTGCGATGGATTGGACATGACTTCATGACTAACAACAACAACAACAATGTGCATACTTTCAAACTGTTATACTGAATCAAAAGGAAACGCAATAACTGTCAGGATTTTCTTTTCTTTTCTTTGTTGTGCCTCCCTGATTGTTTCTGGTAAATGTCTCTACTGATTTCTATATCTGAAATTCATTTTTTATACATTAAGCTTTATCTCAGATCCAACCTTCCCCGTGGCTACTTCAGCCAGGAAAGATGCTATATAATTCATTATGTTACCATCATCATCATCATTATCATCATCATCACTGCCACTTTTCACCATCATCTTTCTCACTTATGTGGCAAGTTGTCAGAGTACCAGACACCTATCCTCATTTTCTCAAGAGCCACTGATGGAATTGGATAGTAGGAGCAGAATTACTACTTAATCACTGTGCCACTGCAAGGGGGTATGGTCTAAGGATGTTGTTACCCCCAGAGAGAAGAAAACTTTAGACCTCTCCCACCATCTTTCATTTGATGGACAGCCAGCTCCTTTCCTCTAGAGCACAATTTTAGTATAAGTAAGTGAAAGAAAATGAAATCATTTATTAGAAAAGCATTTACTGGCCTTTGGAAAAGTAAAAAGTTACCAAGTCTTCCTATGCATGCATCTGTTGGATATAATCTATCCAGAGGTGATATCCAGTAGGTTCTGACCAGGTAGTGGAAATTTTGAGTAGCTCAGAGAACTGACAAATACCACCTCTGATTGGAGATTTTACAGTATCCTACCCCTGCCACACCCACCAAACCATGCCCACCAATCCACACCCACAGAACTGGTAATAAAAAAAATTGAATCCCACCACTGAATCTATCTTTATATCTGAAGTAGAGTAGCATGTTACATAAAAGATTCCATCCTTCTCTGATTGAAACCAATCCCTCACCCCAAGTAGTCAGATGTTTTTGGTTATGATATAAAGGAGGAGGAAGAGGAGGAGAAGGAGAAGGAGAAGAGTTGTTTCATTGATTTAGCATGATTGTTTCCTGTTTTCTTTTGCCTCCATCTACCCTCCTGACCAAAAACAACCATTACTTTGCCCTTCTCTCTTTCTCATTGTCAGGAAGCAAGGACAGCACAGAGGGCTACAAAAGACTTTTGCCTCTTCTGTGTACAGTTATAGAACAGATCGCCTTGTCCTGAGGAAAGATATTGCTTAATTATGCTAGATGCAAATTGATCTGGAAAAGTGCTTTGGTAGGTTTTAAGATCCTGGGTTGGTTTGCTCTTGGCCAAATGCTCGCAAGTTCAATTAAGCCTATTAAGAGCTTTCCCTTGCTGCTTGTCTTTCTGAGGTAATTGGGGGCTCTCCAAGCCCCACAGAGTCTTTAGTTAGGGACTCTCCCGAGCCCCTACGAGCCCCCAGCAGCTCACCCCTGAGTATTTCTATCCTGCTACAACAAAAGGGTGCCATGTCAGCTGTGCCTGGGCAGGTAATAATTCCTGCCCAGCCAGCACCTCCAGAAAATAAAATCTAGACAGTAAAACAAAAGAAGAGATCATATGCTCCATCTCATACCATCTTTTTATTGTCTCATTTTTATAACTGGAATATTTAAGAAATGGAAGCAATGAATAACTAATAGTTACATTTTGAAATGAATTTCTCAATCTTTTAATGTTCACCAAACATTGTAATAATTTCATTTTTATACCACAATCTCATATACATTTAGATAGAACTAAGACCTGCAGAGTTTAATGGCAGCCTATTCCCAATTTTTGAATTATTAGAAGCTTAAAATGTACTCTTTCTGTATAGTAATGCAAAATAGTTTGTTCAGCTATCATTAACTCCAGGGATAGAATTATAGTAGACACCAAAAAAGTATATCTGATAACACAGAATATTCCTTTCTACAGTTACAATACTACTTACAGCATTCAAAGTTTAACATTTCTGCATCCTAGAAGCTAAAAATATAAATTACTGAAATCTGAGCACTGTATCTTATTTCTAACATTGTAGTGCACAATGCTAACTGCAGAAATAGGTACACTTTTGTTACAAAGCTATTGTTACAATCTTAAATTGTTAAGCATCTCTAAGATAATTAAAATTCATTTATGAAATATTGTTCAAACATTTACAACATATGATAAACAGCTGATGTGCAGAAAGTAAACACTTTCTGAACTGGGGTTGCCAACCTTTTGAACCTCAGCGACTACCAAACTCATAATTTTAAATCCCAGGGAACATTAACCAGTCCTATGGCCTAATTTGTGGGTGTGGCTTGTTGGTCATGTGACTGGCTGCACATGGCTTGTATGTAAATATTATAAATATTGATATAAATATTGATCTTTTTTTATAAAAAAGAGCAACTTTTACCCAAAATCAGGCAAAGCAGGCAGGCAGATTGAATTGCTCACAGAATCACAGATTCATTCAGAGACCTATCTATCTGCCATTGGCTAGCTCAGTCTGCCACATAAAATTTGCTTGCAAGCAAACTCACAAAATTAACTCACAACACACCATGTATGTAAATATTGATTTTTTATTTTTATTTTTAAAAAAGCAATTTTTACCCAAAATCAGGCAAACCAGGCAGGTGGACTGAGTTGCTCACAGAATCATTCAGTGATCTATCTATCTGCCAGCGGCTAGCTCATTCTCTCAAATTTGCTTGCCATGAGTCTGCATTAAATAATGGAAACTTCAGTCCTAAGGGAGGTTTGGCTGTGCTTAAAAGCAGAGCCGAAGATCTAAAGACTAGCTAGAAAGCAAGAAATCCAACCATTTCTTACTTCATAGCTAATCTAAATCTTCAGGCACAGCAGAACAGATGATCATCGGAAAAAGGAAAAATAGCAATTTAGCAAGCAAGTTTGCTAGGTAAGGAATGAGTGGGCGGGGAGGGTTCCCACGGGTCATGTGTGCTGTGCAGTCTTGTGCTTTGGTGGGGGTACTCTGGGGGTGAGATTTCTCTGTGGTCCACCAAAATTTTCTCATGGCCCACCAGTGGGCCACGGTCCACCAGTTGGCAAACACTGTTCTAAACCTAAGAGAGATACAGGAATCACATGACTGAAATCCATTACTTCAATGGGAATGTTCAAACTTTGAAGTTCTTATACTATTTTTTACAGTCATACAATACAGTCCATTATAATCCATCTGACTTCCAAATGAATAATCTGCATTATTTCCTATTCCAGTAGTACTTTGATTTTCAGTTCTTAATCTTCTTTGCCTATTAATTTTTCAAGAAATTGGAATAATACTCTTTTAATGACATGACTTTTATCGACATGTTATTTGTATGGTGTTCTGTCAACACTTGACACTAAGTCTATTGAACAGAATTTTTCTTGCACCAGAAGATAAATAAATCTATGCAGCTGTAACAAAGATCAGCAACATATTAGCCAGGCATAAATATGGAATGCTTTTGGAAGCCTGGCTAATTCAAATTCTAAAACTATTTGGAAAAAATATATATTTGTGAATCATAGTGGAAAAAAATAATTGGCAATAAATGTCAACCTTTTCAGGTGGTCCAGATCAAGAAACCAAAATCATGAGCACTAATGCTACTTTTATTGCAACATTATTATTACAAAAATTTGCAAAGCTTTAAAGTGCTTTCCCTTCCGACGCCTTTACATTCCATAGAATTAGGCAGTGTCTAAATTACATTTTTAAATGTAATTTTTAAAAAAATTACATTTCTGGTTTGGGTTCACATTTTGTTTATCAGATCATTGCCTAAACTGCAGCTATTCCTGTCTCCCATGCTTGTTCTCACAGCCCATTACAGTAAAGCAAAGAGGATTTATTAAGCTTTTTCAGAATACTCTAGAGCTGTGATCCACTACTCTGCATTGTATTGGCCTAGGGGCATTTCAGTCTGGATACTTTAATTGCTTGCAACAACTGCTTGTGAAGGTTGGGGTTTTGCAATGTCCATTTTCAATGTCGTATATTTGTGATGTTAAGTTTTCTGAGGCAACATGAATCAAAAAAGTTTGGCACTTTTGGCCTGAGGTGACACCAAAAAAAGTGTGAGAATTTCTGCTGTAGAGCATTGAGAAATTATGTAACTATATCTGACAAATTTCAACCAGATTTTTTCATAGTTATCATATTAATGCAAACTAGATATCTTGACAAATAATTTCTGCATATACTATTAGCCAGCATATAGTAGTTTCACAATATGCTACTTCTATCTTGTAAAAATAATATTTTAAACAACTATTGTTCTAAACTAGTTTTGTTCAGAAGAGCCATGAAGTCCTGGCTCTTCTCCCAGACTTTGGTGACAAAAAAAATAGGGCTCCTCACTTCATTGTGCTTGCCATCTTTTACCATTTACCTCTTAATTTATTGATTTTATTGTAAGTTCTTTGATTGTTGTGAGGCACCCAAAGTCATCAAGAGTTGGAGAGCATACTTTATTGGGATTCATAGACAACGAACTAGAAAACGATTAAGGTAAATTGATGCTATGTATGGTAACTGGAACAACAATACTGTACAGGTACCCCTTGGCTTATGACCACACACTTAACAACAGTTTGAAATAACAAAAAGCTTCTGAAAGAATTCTCACTGTCATGAAAGATTGTACCACTACCCTAAGTCATGTGATCACAATCTGGATGCTCTGCAATCAGTTCACACTTACAATTGGTTTATTTATTTAGGAAATGTACATGGCCACCCACTCATTCAGTGGCAGCTTACAAGCGGTAAAAAAAAGACTATAAAAAATAAAATAAAGAAAACCCAATAACCTCCCATCCCCTTGATGACAACACACAATCAGATAAGCCACTTAATGGGCTCCAGCCCACTCTGGGTTCCACAGGCAAAACCAAGTCTTTAGAGCCTTACGAAAGAGTGTCAAAGTGGGAGCCAGTCTAATTTTCGCAGGGATGATATTCCAAAGGGAGGGACTTTGGTTGCCAAGCACCCCACAATCATTTCATTAATATCATTAATATCATGATAATTTTCAATCCTAGTAGAGCTTAGAAATAAACAGTACAATTAACTTTGACCAGTGAAGATTATATGAATTAAAAGTTATATAAACCATCACCAATTGTACAAATTCACTTTTGAATTAAACACACACACACGAAGAAACAGGAGCTGGACAGAGCTGTTTCTCCAACTTCAAGCCACCATCTCTGGCTAGATCAAGCTTTAAGAAACAAACAATGTATACAATTTCTCTCTTTGGTTCTCCCTCTGCAGCTCTAATTACTATAGATGAAGTCTAGAGTAGTAAAGTATATATTTTGCATTTAGAAGTTCCCAGAGC